CACACACACACACACACACACACACACACACACACACACACACACACACTTAATCCACAGATTTGGCTCCTTCATTGGACTTCTTCAGGAGGCTGAGCAGGTTCTGCGACATGAAATACGGCCTCTCTGCTGACCCATCGTTGCGCTCCAGATCCTCCACTGTGACACGGACAGAAGCAGATGAGGACAGCACGCTAACACTAACGGGTCATCTAACTCGTACTCATGCATCGTCTATCTATAAGCTGTTGTGTCTTTCAGCTGAAGAAGAATTAAAGGAGTACTCCAACAATTTAATATTGCACTTCAACAAGGACACCTGCGAGAGACAGTTGAAGAGTAACTTAAAGGAATATTTCACCTCCAAAATGACCATTTGAATATCAATTACTCACCCTGTGAAACTGAATTCTCACATAACTCAACAGGGAACGAAGAATCAAAAGAACGGAGAGGAGTCTTGATGAATTGAAGTAAATGGGGTCACTTTTAACAACAGCGAAACCGTCTTTGATTCTCTGTTTGAAAAAGAGTTTTCTTCAAAATTCAAGGTAACATTGGGCGAGTAATTGTTATAAAAAGAGTCATTTTTGGGGAGAAGTATTCCTTTAACATTATTTCGTAAAGCAGTGTTTTGCTGCCCTCTCTGGTTGAAAATATCAAGTCCCAGGGTGTGGTCTAAGTGTGTTCCACTGGCCCTGTAACTAAACAGTGATGAGATCCTGGAGTACACCTGTACATCACTCCAGCAAGGTGAGAGGATAAACCTCTACAGGTCAGCAAAAACAATGTTTTAAAGTGGCGTTAAGCTGCTTTTAACTAAAGAAAATAAAATAATGTTCTAATTCAGTTTATGCCAACCTGGGGATCGGGTCCCAAGACTAATTTGAGGGGTCAGGAGATGATTAAATGAATAATTAAGGGGGAAATGCATCGGTCACAATGAATTGTTGTTTTTTTTTTGATTTTTCATTTTTGTCTTTCTGTATTCTATATTAATATTATGTAATATTTTGGATATTACCTCTTAAGGTATCAAAAGATTTTGTTAATCAATGTACCATTTTAAACTTACAAAACTCACCTGCTTCCAAACACCAGACCACCTTCAAACTCACATGTTTAGCCATAAACAGCACTACTTATGATTAAATACAATCACCTTTAATCAAGATTTACATCCAGTAAATATGGAATGTCATCAGTAATTTCATCGGGAAATCAACTTACATCTTTCACAAGGTGACAAACGAGAAAAACGGTACAAAAGCATCCAGAGAATTAAGACGTTAGTTGGGAGCATTCAGTAGGCCATGTCAAAACCATGCAGCACTTAGACAGAGAGAGAGACAGGATAGGGGCACAGCGAGGCAGGGGGGTCAGTAAACAACTGGGAGGGGGGGGGGGGGGGGGGGGGGG